TATTAGTTTGGTTCAGGGTAGTATCTAGTCGAGCACTCTCGACTAGAGTTTTCTTGTTTAATTTACAGATTTATGTACTTGCTCTGATCATATGTTGATTTTTTGCGAAATTGAGATTTTAATGCAGAACGGTTAGAAAACGTCTGTCTCATACTTGTAAAAAATAAGAACTGAATTCGCTTTCGATTTGTAAAAAAATCAATTTCAATTTGAGCGTTTGTATACTAACATGTAATAACAAAATTACAGGAATGTTTCACCTGTAAAGATAAATTTCTAGATATACCATCATTTCGCAATTAATGTTTCATTTGGAGTCCTGAACTTTGACTTTATAGACTAAAATAATGATGTGTAACGCTATGACATGATCAGGCATTATTGCATACTTACGTCTTTTGGTTTCTCTTCTTTCATAATATCCAAAGAGTCGTCCGTACTACAACTAAGCTTGTCTTTACCAGAAACCTCGGATAAAGTTGTGGAGCAGTTTGGTTGCTTTCGGACGTCCAATTCATTACGCATAGTTTCATAACGACGCAACTCGAAATCAATAACATCCATACATAAGGATCCTATCTGTTATACAATGACCTATAATGTAATTAATAGACCTTATTTTTTGGAACATACCTTGTACTGCACAATAAGAGGATGAAATTTAGTATAAGTTGAGAAGCAAAAGAATATATAAATGATGTTTGTAGACAAATCCAAGCTTTTACGCCAATCTTCGCGAAGCACGCGAGCTAAAGCACTGAGACAGGCCTCTGCAAGAATATATTTCAGATAAAAGTCTACTAACTGTGACTGTACAGTAAAATCACTTGCCATTTTTTTCTAACTCTTCTAGATTGTCGGGATTTCGAGCCATCTGCAATATCATACCAGAGCCACGAACTTTCTCACTCAGCTCTTCGTAGAGCAACTCAACATAGTCGTCAATGTTGTTAATGGTCACATCCACCGTTGATGCTGCTTTTTTTGCGATACCAGTAGATCCCACTCCAATAGAGTTACTTGCTATGGCCAAAACATTATTATATGGCCGTGCTGAAGACTTCATTTGAGATGCCTGTGATGACTGACGATTGTTTGTATGTGGATTATCTACATTTATAAATAGTAGTATAAGTATCAACGCATTGTTGATGAAAATACGATTAACCATTACCAGAAATATCTTTACGATTTTTTAGATAAAAAATAATTTGTTCCACTTCATTAAGTTGTGACTTATGTATAAGTTCGCATTTATCTACTACTTCCCGAGCCAGCGTTGTGGGGTCTGTTTTGAAATTCAGCGATCGTAGACGTATGATTTTCTGGCATTGCTTTATGACAAAAAAAAAAAAAAAAAAAAAAAAAAAAAAAAAAAAAAAAAAAACAGTGTGTTTTATATACCAAAGTGATAAAAACATTGATTAATATAGATAGAAAAAATCAAATAAATTTGGGGGTTAATACTGAAGCTCAAACCTTTTTCTCCTCAACCATGGGATTATCAGGTTCTCCAAACACTGTAGCCTCGAGCTGATAGTTAACTATTAGTGCCTTCTCTGTAGGATGCGGCTCAATGCAGCCACCTTTCCAGCGTCTGTAAAAAAAAACATAAATGAGCGTAAATTGCATTGCTACTTATCTGTTTATATGATATTAATATTATCAACGGCCCGATCTCATAAAAGATACATACATTTTACAGGACGTTGTTCCTATAAAAATTTTAGATCAGATATTAATGACGCAATGACGTTCAAATTCAAATCGTGATTATAACCCTTATATGCGTGCATTTGCCAAAGCACAAGTATCTAGTATTTGAGATACGCCTTTTACACATACATTGATGACAGGGTGAATATAGGGCTAAAGGGTAAATATAAAATATACACGGACCTGGGAAAATTTCAAGTCTCTAGCTTTTATATCTTCTAAGATCGACGCGTTCATACATACGGACGGACGAACGGACAAGCCCAAATCGACTCAGGTTATCGTCCTGACAAGAATAAACATCCTTTGTGGGGTCTGCCACACCTCCTTCCTATTACATACTTTTAATACATGCATTATACCCTGATCTCCCATTTTAATGTATTCAGGGTATAACAAGTAAGAGGAATCCTTCGAGTAACTAATATTTCAATGATTATCCGCACATGCACACACATTGGCATACACACTCACACATAAATGGGAACTTAATTGTTTAATAACTTTTCTAGTGGATGCACTGTCTTTATGAAACTTTCAGATTATTATTATTATTTGCAATTATGAAGGTTAGTTTGTGGATATAGGGGTGGGCGGTAAATTTTAATTCATTATTTTCTAAAGTTTTTAAAATCTATAAAGTACACTTCAAATTTGAGTTTTTATATTACCTGAACCTTCCTAAACATAGAACATTATAAATCAGGGTTTAATGGTTTTGTTGAAATGTACTATGTAACAGACAGAAGATCAGGGCGATAAGCTAAGTTGATTTAGCCCAGTCGGTCTGTTTAAATGTGTCGATCTCAGGAGATATAAGAGCTAGAGACTTGAGTTTTTAAATGTCCGTATATATTTAAATGAATCTTAAGTTTATCTCCAAAATAAAATGCTCAAACAGCGAGGTTCATTTCCTTAGCAGATAGCAATACGCCCAAGCGGTGCAGGGAAGTTTCCACAGAAACAGCAGAAAGTTCCTAAAAATAGCCTGGGCACAATAAGCAAAGTGCAGCGGACACAAAACAGCCAATGACTCTACGGGATGCCGTTGCACGCTGGTCGATAGACGGATATTTTGACAGCTAAAAGACTCAAATCTATGCAAAAACAACACGGTCATATAGCGGCCAACTGCGAAAGCGACTGTGACCTAAAGGTTTCAGGTGTAGAGATATGAGTCGGAGTGCAAAAGCCAGCACAAAGCCATTAAGTGTGGTATCTTCAAAGGCGGAAGGAATCCTTAAGTGGAACTGACGTAAAAGGAGCTGTCAACGTTTCTACTGCTTAATTATTATTAACTCTATTAGTGGTTAAATAAACGAAATAAAACAAAAGTGTTCATGAGATCTTTTAAGTTATATATTTGGCAACATAAAAAAAATATCATTAATTTATTACAATAAAAAACATATGAATTATAATTATAATATAAAACAAGTAAGAAACAATCAAACAAACATAAGCACACACACATGCATACAAACAAACACAAACACACACACGCACATATACAGGCGATTGCGCTTGGGTTGCGCTGCAGTGTTGGCAATATTTTGGCAATTAATGAAAATTTCAGAACGTAAACATCTATACATATAAAAGAGAGTTGTTAAAAGTGTTTCTACACTTATAACTCGAGATCTGCTGGACCAATTTTCATGGTTTTTGATTTGTTG